GAAGCGCTGCCCTGACCAATCACAAGCTTGCGATCTCTGTCCCTTTCACACGATAGTTAAAAAGTTGGGCATGTCTCCGATAGCCTCTGTGAGCCTGTCTGAGAGCCCTTGCGGTATAATGCAGTCACAAAAATGAATGACGATGAATGGTCTTCACAAGTATAGTAAAACAAATATATGGGTGGGGCGTTAGACTTGGTTTAGACCATTTTTAAATCAAACTTTTATTATAATTATTGTTTCACTTACCCCTCCTTTCCACCGGAGCTGTGACGGAGCCGTCAGCAGCACGTTACTGCAGCAGCACGTCATAGCTGCTGATAGGAACCGCTGTGGTCAACAGAACCTTTTCCAGCGGAGCCGTCAGCGGCCATCAGCGACGCGAATCGGCCATGTCTCAGGAGCAGCATGTCGCGGCCTTTACGCGCCGGTTCCATTTTCTACACGCTACGCCTCTGAAACGGGTCAAGTTCGACATTTTTGGGGAAAGAAACACAATAAATCAAATGCAGAAACAGAGCGAAGCTTCCCGAGATTTTCAGAATAAAGAAACGTACTGCCTTCCGGTTGCTTTACTTAAAAAAAAAAAAAAAGTTATCACCTAGCTAGTGGTCTCTTATGTTTTTCCATAATGGACGACGAAAGGTTGATTACTGAAGTGATCCTGCTTGTTGTTACGTTTACTGGCGAAGTCACGAGTGATTTTGCTGATGTCGCGTGACTTCGTGCTCTGTCGGTGACAGCTGCTCCTCTGCTGCTTCGCGTCTCGTGGGAATGGCCAAGCAGCAGCATACGCGAGCAAGACGTGCTGCTGCAGTAACTTGCTGCTGACGGCTCCGGTGGAAAGGAGGGGTCAGTCTTTCCTTTCATCAGAATAGAATTTTCACCTGTCCTGCTTCTGTGCTCTCAACTGTCTGCTGTCTGCAATCACCTCCCTCATGCTCCATTCATAGTTAGATGCAACTGTATGTTTTCAGTTACGATATCAACATTACATTGCATGATATTTGTTTAGCTGCCTCAACAGTTTTTCCATTTTATATACACATTTTATTGCATTAGGCTTCTAGCCAAAGTTTGGGTAGTTTTCATAGAATTTTCATGTATTACAACTTTTGTCAGATTCAAGTTATTTCTGACCATTGTGGGTTTTTCTTTCATTGACCGAAGGGTACAAACAATTTTGTCCACATCTATGTGTGAATTAAAGTGAATGGAGTGTGTTTGAATCACAAAATGATTCTGCACATTTGCGCATTATTTCTTGCGACTATTAATACACATTTACATTATGGTCTTTGATTTCAAAGATTTTGCCCTCATATCCTGAAAAAGTCTTCTTACTCACCATAGTCAAGATGTGAGAGAACCACTTAACAATCACACATGATGAGAAGGTTTTCTGGAAACAACTATTTACCAACTATTATTGTTATCAGTTGCTATGAAAAACATGTAAGATCTCAATTTACTTCAAAGCTGATACATGAAATCATACAAGAGTTGCTCAACTCAGGCCGAGAGTGAAATTTTCTCCATCAATAATCCTTTGGTATATAGAAGGGTGTTAATGAGCTAGACGCACTAAAAGCCAACAATGCCTGACAAGCCAAGCTGTTCAACACGGCACGGATCTTCTTATCAAGCCCATCACAGCTCTACACCTCCATGCGCATAGCCATGGCAGGGTTCAGGCTATTTTGAGTGCTTTCAGGTCCATGAAATTGGATGTGAATTTGCATTTTTGGGCTAGCTGCTCTGATGTGACTTGCTGTAATGAATAGGAGGCAATTCTAGAGAAGCAAAATGAGGCTATTCTGTGAGAATGTGAGTTTGAGGACGTTGTTACATTTCCCCCCCTCACCACTGGACAAAAGGCATAAAGAGTTTTAAAACTTTTAAGAAGTGACTTTGACATTCTCTATCTTTGGTATAATTTTGCTCCAGTAACCTTGCACCTCATGAATTGATGTAAGCTGACAAGTGACCGAGGGTATTAAAAATATATATTTTCGAAAGCACAATGAGTTGGTAATGGCTTAAAGCCCATACAGCGATTGTCAAGAAGTGAAATGTGGAATATAAAACTTTATAGAGAAATATTCTCTTTGGGGCATTTTTGAGTGGAGTACCACATTTTTGAGTGGGTCACCATGACTCGTCCTGCTGGGTTGTCATGGATACGCTGTCACCATGCTAAAAAAACTACCACGACTTTACCGTGACGGCTTTGTAAAAGCTCAAGCTGGTGTGAACCTATCATACTAAATAGTGAGCCCACTGTCTTCCTAATATGCACCTGAAGACCTCACCAAGATTCTACAAGGACAAGATAACGTCTGTCAATTTTCTTCCTTTGTGGTAAGGCCATCATCAGGTGTGACACGGACTCAGATAACTTCAAAAGAGTATTAAGGTTATATAAAGGAAGTGAAATATATTACCATAAAATCTACTATTTAACTTTTCTTTTTCTTCTAGGATATAGGTATGATGAGTCCTCATCAGAACATCTTACATCCCAGGGGCCTAATTCATACTGCACATCATGGGCTTGGCATTTTGAAAATAGCTGCATTCAGAATAAAACCGTTGTCTTTCTTTCCAAAAGATGGACTGAAGATTAACTACCTAGAGAAACAAGAAAGGTTTTTTTCCCCTGAACTCGGGCACAATCCAGATTTTTTTTTTACAAAAGACTTAAATTTTATTTGAGTCAAGTTACTGAGAGAAATAAAAGAGACCAGCACAGACACAATGTATCATTTACAAGTAAATACAGGCTCAAGCTTGGAACATGCAGAGCTGAATTTTATCAGGAAGTATGGTTATCAAAGTACTGAGGAGTCACATCCTGCATTGCTGTCACAAGTAAAGCCATTTCATCCATCATTAAAGGTTCAGTATGTATAAATATAATGATAAATGTATTGTGATAAAATCCCAAAAGAGTTTAATGTCTCGGTCATTTTGGAAGGAAGGTTATACTGAAACATGTTTCATATCCAGCTGGCTGCTGGATTGTCAGTTTTTCTTCATTCAAAACAAAGGAAGGAGGGACGTAACGACTGTTTACCATCAGTGAGATTGGGGTAGCCGTGTCTCCTGCGAGTTTATACTGCAGCGCCGATAATTGTAATTTGACGAAGGCCGGCAAAAAGTTCCAGAGTTGTTTAAAGTGGTTGCAGTAACCAGATTTTACCACAGGTTGTAAATTTTACTTCATTTTTACATAATGCACCTTTAAACACATACCCGTGTGGGTCTGTGTAGCACAAAAGCTCTGTTATAGCACGTTCTTCCATATGAAAATGCACTTTATCTCTTGCAGTTAGTTGTATAATGTTGCATCCTGAAAATCGCTTAACTTGTGCAGGAAAAAAAAATCTCAAGATTAGGAAACTCAATCTGGCTTAATGCTTGATAAACAACTAGATTATTCTTTCCAGCACGTCTAACAGACCAAAATAACCCTTTTAAACAGTGTGTTGTCAACAGGATCAACAACCTTTATACTCTTGGAGGTTAAAGCCCATAACAGATGGTAACATAAACCATTACATCATCCACCTTTCAGAGGATTAAAAATGTAATCTTAATTCTTATTCAAGCACTGCAACACCAGGCTGTGCCAATTTTGATAATGTAGTGCATCATTAGGTGGTGCAAATCAAAGACTCATCTAGTTCACCATCAGGAAGGACTCCCATGAATAACTTGCCTGTTTTAAATTACATTGTTAAAGTAGGTGAAATTGTGTTTTTTATAATGAGGACTCTTTTTGTTTCAGCAGCTGTGCCTAAACGGATTTGTTCTTAGGATATCAGACTTGAGAAGATTACAAAAATATAAAATGTTAAATCCGAGTATTCTCTTCATTAATGGCTTCTACCTTCTGTCTCGGTTATTATGTACCAAGAGAGGTTGGCGTTTGAAAAACGGATACTGAGATCCTCAGAGTCTGTTAAAAATGACATGAGACCGGCTCTCATAACAGACTGATCCTCCTTGAATTATTCCCTTGACCCGAGACCTGCTCAATCACACAGCACACTTAATTAAGTTAAACCAAGAGCAATAAATAAGATGTACGACACGTCAGCACCGATGCTCGTTCTCATCCGTTGACAAAAGCAGCAGGTCTCCAGTCAGGCCTGGGCGATGGGTGAGACCAATAGGAGACATACAGTTGAGGACAGACCTCCAAAATGTTTATAGGAATATCATCAACAGCCCACCAGCAGCTCAGAATACAGATCTGCTCTATATGCTGATGATTTAATGCTGCTTTGTGACAAAGAAGGACCAAATGGTGGTGAGACGGGTAACTCTGGTGCTCAATCGCCAAGGATCATTGCTGCATCTGCTGTGGCAGAGAAACAGGCATCAGAATTCAATCTAGCTACACCATCTGCTCACAGATATCAGGCCTGTCATTTGATATGGGCTGGCCTAAAGTTCACCTTGCTATAAGAGATGCCTCAGACTCTGGTCTAATAAAATGTGATGGATGAGGGTTGCAGAGCTTCCTCTGTGGTACTTGACAAAGTCCACCGTGTAATCAAACAGAGGTGTGGGAAGTTTAGAGTCACCAGAGAAAAACTAAACATCAGGAAAGCTGCTTTAATGAGGGACGTGAAAAGGGAACTGCACAGCAGTAACAAGGCCGGTTCAGCTTTGTTTTCTCATTAGTGAAATAATTGGTTTAAAAAAAAAGATTATTTTAAAACTTGACTTATTTTTTTGTTACAGATCAGCAAAACTTTCTAGAGTCCTGCTGGTTAATTTAACAGTAAGTGATCCACAAAATTCAGTGTTTGTTTGAATGTGTTTAAAATGTATTACAAGTTGAATGAAAGAATTCTGTCAGTAAACCCAAAAAAAGATTGTTTTTTTGTTATTTTCAAGATTTTCTTTTCATCTCACCATTGGTTTTTTGGCACATTGTGGACCAAAGACCTCCAAACAGTAAAACCATAAAGTAAAAATAATATCCTTACATGCAACATGAAGGCTGGCTTCTCTGCTGACGATTGTGCCAAAAGAGTTTGACGCCAGGCACTGATAGATGCCAACATCTTCCTCTTTGTTCAGGTGGCTGATGTGTAAGTTTCCACCCATGAGAGAGTAGCGCGACCCTGGACTTGGCAGGATGAAAGAGTCGTTTAACTTCCACCTGTGAATGCAAACATAAAACACACAGCTAATAATGCTTTCTTAGCTTTCCAGACATATTCTGCCCTCAGTAGGATACTTCTGATAATTATTTCTAAACATAAGGAAACAAAAACACTGAATCAGACAGACTGATTAAGCCATAGGGCCAAATGGGAGTGAAATAGTGTTTGTCTGGGAGAATGTCAAATGTTCGTTTTTGCTTTATTAAAGATGGACATTTTTAAAATAGTCCTAGTTTTGTTTAGTCTGTTTAATCATTAAGTATGCTTTACATAACTCTTTTTAAATCAAAGATATTTTCAAACAAGAAGAACACAACTGCATTCACGAAAAAACAAAAAAGCAGAAATGACATGGTTCACTACAGGAATCCATTATGTTTGTAACACAACAAATGTGTTTTGGGTGGTTTAGCAGCAATATTATAGATAAGACAAATTTTAAGTTTTGTGTAAAATTTCTAATTCTCTCTGAGGGTCCTCTGTTTATTCTGCACCAAGACAAACAAACACATGACAACAGGCTTAAATAATGAATGCTCCACTACTGTACTTTACAAAGTTATTTTTAATGCACACAGGGTTTTTTAGTTATTCAATACCATCTAAAGATGCATCTGATGTTGGGTAATTAAACTGTCAAAATAATTACTGACTAAACACAATAATGAGGATATTTTTAGTCACTCCAACTCATTTCCTTACCAAATTTATTAGGGGGTGCAGGAAGCTGGTGCCTAACTAAAGCTGTAACTGTGCAACCAGGACAGGACACCGGTCCATCTCAGGGTTTCAAACAGACAAACAACCTTATAATCGTGGCAAATTTACAGTCACTAGTTAAGGTGATGTAAAGTGTACAGCTATAGGAAGGAAGCCAGAGTACCCAGGTGAACCACTGCACAATGAGAACAAGCTCCTTTTAACCTTTAATTATCAAGATGAGTCATTTATAAAAGAAACACTACAGGGGACAAAGTAAATGGTAAATGGCCTGTATTTAATATAGCGTCTTCTAGAGTCCTGGAACCCCCCAAGGCGCTTTACAACACATTCACCCATTCACACACACATTCACACACTGGTGGGGATGAGCTACAATGTAACCACAGCTGCCCTGGGGCGCACTGACAGAGGCGAGGCTGCACTGGCGCCACCGGTCCCTCCGACCACCACCAGCAGGCAACGTGGGTTAAGTGTCTTGTCCAAGGACACAACGACAGCGACAGACTGAGCGGGGCTCGAACCTGCAACCTTCCCATTGTGGGGCGAGCACTTAACTCCTGTGCCACCGTCGCCCCAAATTGTAATTGAAATTGTAAATAACTAAATCTTTTTGCAAAAAAAAGAGAATACAAATGTTACCAAAATCTCACTGAAATCTCAGTAGGGCAACAAAACTGTTGCCATGAGACAGCAATGCACAGTGCTTATGTTTAAGGTCCGTTCATCTAAATAACCTACATGATAAACCTTTAGCACAAAGTCCTCAAAGTCTACCACAGTGTTTTATCTGAGTGACCTAATGTTTTTTTTAGATGAACCACGTGTGGTTTTGAGGGCTGATACTGATTTCCAATTCAGTGCATCTCTCGTTTGTCTTAATACATTTTGGCCAAATCTGATTTGTCTCAAATAGCAACAGCCTGGTTTTGTCTTTGTAGCATTGTGTTATTAGGTTTTGGCTTCCTGCCCTTTAGGATTCTTATTTGGTTTTTGTCATCCCAAATAAAGGATTTTACTTTTATCACCACTCTAGCCTCGTGTCGTCCTGGGTTCTGCACCTTGGGTCCTAACCTCCTGCTCTCAGCGAGACAGGAGGCAACACTGAAAGATGGTGGGACAGGGATGACAAATGCTGTGGAATGGTGCTCAACAGCAGCTCGGCTGATTAAACCGATTTAGTGATCACAGCTGGAAGTGGTCCAAGAGCTTCAAATGAGACAAATCAAGAGAGTGGCATGCAGATAACTCGATGTTCGATGTGGCGCTGTGATTGCCGGGCTGTCTTCATCAAATGGATTTGTCCTTTTTTGCCCCTGAAAGGTACCTGCCTACTGCAGCAGCCTAGTCCCACTCAGCATCTGGTGGTCCGCTGCTGAGCTTCACAAGGACCCAAATCGTCTTTAAAAAATCCATATCTGTCATAGACTCAAATAAAACCACAGCAATTAGGCCAGTTAAATATCTGTCCAATCATTAAGAGATGAACATGTGATACTGCAGCAGCTTGTCATCAATCTGAAAACCACTTCTTAATGAAGGGTGCGGACTGCTGCAGTTGGCGCCACTTCCTTTAATTAAAGAGCTAATTAAAACAAAATTTGACAAATTTAGAACCTTAACTCAGAGGGGCAGAACCATTTACAGACTTGATCTCATAAACTGCATTTTCATTTAAAAAGTTGTACTTTGGTGACAGTGAAAAAGCGACTGCTTAAGTATTCAAGGCGATTAAAGAGACAACATCTATCTTGTACATTCATTTCAATTTGTATCTATTAGCCATAACACCGAGGATCTTCAAGCCACATTAACAGCTGAATACGCTGGTATTATGAGGGTTCGTTTCGACCTATTACACATTAAATGCTTGGTTTGAAATTTGCATTTAATTACCACGACAGGAGTGTAGTCCCATGTGACAAATTATAAATTAATAGCTTATGCACCTGATGTACTTTAAAGTAATTTCTTGTTTGTTATCATTTTTTAATTTGTCACCATTGTAGCGGTGGAGGGAACTCATCAATCTGTGTCTGACACAAACGCTGGGAGAGCTGCTCTTTCGCTCAATGTCACGAACAAGCACAACTGGTGACAACTTTTTTCTGTTGCCATGTCAGTCAGCAGATTTGCATCATGTGTATCGTGTCGTGACAGCTCTGGATTCAAATGCCCTGTGGCAATAGGTGTGCAGCCTTCAGCACTGTGTTGTGTAGAGAGTTTATACGAGAGTTAAGGAAAAATGGGTTTTTCTTGCCTGGGAAAAAGAGCTACATTTGCATGTTTTCATCTTCCCTAATTCTTTATAATAAAAAAGATCATTTTGACACAATATCCTTTAGGGTAACGTGATCTTTTTATTTTTTTATTTTTTGTCGGCATGAATGACAGGAAGCTCTCAAAGCAAGATCAATACATTGCTGCCAATTCAAGTGCACTGATTATTGAGGCCAACAAATTAATCACTCTGAAATTAACTTTGATTGACAGCTAATCTAAGTGCTGCAAGCAATAAGTGGGCCATATGGTTCACAAATCCTACTTTTCCCCAAGCAGTAAACCCAATCCCAGTTGGCTCTTGGTGTAAATGTTGCCCTTGGTAGCTCTGAGACATCACCTGGAAGGTTCAGTGAAAAAGTGTGAATGAATCCAACTCTGCAGGTGTTACCTGTAGAAGGGGGGTGGGTGTCCTTGGGCTTCACAGCTAAACACCACCTCTCTTTGAGCCTCCCCTGGTTGAATTGGAAACACCACACTGCCTGGTTGTTTGGTGAATATGGGCTTCAGCAGGACTCCACTTCCTGGGAGGAAAACCAACACAATTACATCAGATCTGATGTTCTGGTGAGCCGGAAAAACAACTTTTTATACAATTCTCTGTGGAGAAGCTGGTACTAAAGCTGTATAAAATAAACACTAAAGGGGAAAAAGTATATGGAAATTGTGAATAACTAAATCTTTTTGCAAAAAAGACAATACAAAAACCACTAAAAGCAGATCAGACAAACTGAACAACGAACCATCTAATAGTTGTATATCAAATGTAGATATACTTGTAAAGCTGCTACTGTTAACCAAAAAGGATGAATTCCCTAAAGAATGAAGTTAGCTGTTTTTTGGCTAAACCAATGAAAAAGCAACTTGAAAACTAAAGATTCTACTGGGAGAATAAAAATAACAGAAACAAATACAAAAGAAAACATTTTAATGTATTCAAATTACATAGTACAAGTTATGTTCAATCATAAAATGATTGAACAAATCAAACGTGCTGCTTTACAGGCTTTGTGACTCACACTTTTCTAGCGTGTCTTTGTTTTGTACATGTATTCTTTCCACAGTGACTTTTATTATTCTAAATGCTCTTCAAGTGTTTTGAATCAACAAAATAAGCACCATCTGCATTGCAGTGTTTAAATAGAAGTAATGAAAAAAACAAGCACAACAGACAAAAGCTCATCTACAGCGAAGTCCGTTTTCTGTTTAATTATATAGATTCACAAATGTGCAGAATCTTTGTTAGTCAGCAGCTCATTTCAATAAACACTCGTTTCTGAGGCTGTCAATAAAGCTTAGAGTATTAAACTAAATCTGAAGCTTTTCCTTTAAAGATAATGAACAGAAGTTACTTCAGTCTGTGCTACGTTTTGTTTTTTCCTTGTAATAATTGATCTGTCTGTGATACACAAACTAAGAGCGATGATATCGCCTGTGGCGTACATGAAATGGATAATCATGATGAGTTTCAGGCTGATAAATCATTTCTACATTTGTCAATAGTTTAGAAAGAAAAACTTGTTTGTTTTTCAAGTTTATATTTTACCATTTAAAACAGGATTAGTCAGATTTATTTGTACATTTGATACACAGAAGCAATTCAGTGTGTTTTCAAGAAGCAAGAACATAAAACCTTACAACAGACCAAATTTAAACACATAATTAAAATGAGATGTAAGAATAACATAAAAAAGGTAAACTTAAAGGCTGAGCAGTTACAGTGCAGAAGGTGCAGCATGAGTAACATTCATCAATTTTGATTTGAAAGTTACTATATTTGGGGCATATTTGAGGTCATGAGGAAGATGATTCCATACAGAATAGTAGCTAAAAGCAGCTTCACCCTGTTTGGTTCTGACCCGGGGTTCTACCAGCTGACTGCTTCCCATGGATCTCAGATCCCTGCAGGGTGTATACTGCAAAGTGAACCAAGGTGTATTTTGGCCCCATGCCATTTAATGATTTATAAACTAGTAGAAGCACTTTGAAACTGATTCTGTAGTTTAGAATGTAGATTAGCATGTTAAAGGGGATAAAGAATCGAAACCAACATTTTCTTGTTTGTGAATAAAGACAGCTTGGGTGGTCAAAGGTAGCATGCCAAAAAGTCAATGCTTTTTATGTAAATTAGAAAGTTTAAAAATGCAAGACAAAAACTTATTTTCTGAGAAACGTCTCATTAAAACGTCACAATGCAGAGCCCTTCCTCCTCCAATCTGCAGTCTCCAGTGTCTGAGGCCTTCTGGTTTAAACCAACCAATCAGCAAGCAGCTCATTAGCATATCCATGTCCTGGCCAAGTGGGAGCTCTTTTCACAGCAGACTGATTTAGGGTGTTTAGAATGGCCTGTATCAGGACTCCTGGGACAGATGAAAGCCAAAAGAAGGTGTTAAAGTCATGAAGCATAACCTTGTTGTTTTCAGTATTTGTACTTTTATTTTGATGATAGAAAATTATGATTTGAAGGATTTCCAAGAACCGCGCATGGATGTTAGACAGACAAAAAAGTAACTGACATCTGAAATGTGACCCTGACCACATTCTGCTCTTTGTAAGGAATCAAAAGCAGTGAAACTGGCTTTTTGCTGTATTGTAGTGAGACTGGGTTGTATGGATCTTCCTGACTCACAGTAAGGAAGAAGAATTCACTCAACCACTGACTGCTAATCACATGAAATATTGTAATTTATAATAAACAAGGACTCAGGTTAATGTCTTTAATATTTATTATCCTCATTTATCAAATAATACAAATTTTAGTTCAAAGTCAAATTTAGGTAAAAATAAATGACTCTTCAAAGGGGCATTACGGAAGTTTGACAGTCAAAACATGTAAAGAAATAATAAATGTCTTCTTCATACATTCTCCTGCAATGCCCTGGTCCTGTAGAATGAGCCCTGGCATTTTTACTGTGATTGCCTGTTTTTCTGTAAAATCACAGAAAAAGAGAGCTGCTCGGGTCGAGCAGGCTGCTTCATGCGCGTTCACGCTCAGGCATAGCCCGTAGCATTTGCTATCAGTAGCTTTAGCAGCAGAGAGAGGGGCAGTGCCAACTCAGCGACTTTGTCGTTGTTCCTAATGCCTAGTGATGAACCTAGCTACATTTCTGAGGACCCTTAGCTACTTTCTTCTAGATATTTCCTGCAAATTAGCAACAAAATAGCCATTTTCGCTCCGAACTGTTCTTTGAACGTTGTTTCAGCTGTCATCAAGGATATAAATATTACAGATACAGAAGACGTTACGGGTGCTTTAGCTTACTAAGTAAGACGATGGACTTCCATGCGGAAGTTCCGGCTTGAAATCTAGATGTGAACAAAATATATTTAGTGTTTATTTTTTACATTAATGGTATATTTTTTTACAGCAAGATGCCCAAATTTGTATGAGACTCGCCGAACGGCATTGAATTCACAGATAAAAAAGATGTGAAACTTTCATTTTGGAACAATTTTTCAAGCAAGGGAAGGGAAGCTCTGTGAAGCTGACAGACTGACCCATCTTAAACCTTTGTCAGCTGTGCTGAAGATAAACGTACAGAACCAAATTATTTAATTAATTAGCTGTGCGTTCTCCTGTCCTCTGTCCTCCGGGTCACACACACACGGAGCTGATTGTCTCAGCTGTTATTTTCGTTAAGGAGTGTGCACGTACAGCATGCACGCCTCGTGCACGAGCCTACTATTGAAGCTGTCGTTACGCTTTTGGCCTGAGGGGGCAATCGCGAGCATAAAAAGATAAAAAACATAAAAAGTCAAAACTCCGTAAAGTCCCTTTCACACATTTGCTGTATATTGTATATGACTAACTGGATTTTATTAATATAATAGATATGAGCTGTAAAGATGTCAAAGCTTGATCAATATTCTTAGCCAGAGATTTGCATAATTATATGACATCACCATAACAACACTTTTATAACTGAGGTGCAGCAATTACATGTCCAGCTTGGAAAGTTACAGAAGAATACAACACTCTATGGCCCTCAAATATATCCTTAAAGGAAAAAAATAATCATTTTTTGTGAGTTTCTTAAAAAAACAGCAGCTCAACAACAAATCAAAAAGTTAAAGATTAAAGTTTTTGATGCATCATAGAAAGTTTTAAGAAATCAAGTTTTCTGGAAGTCAATTTTGTTGAGTCAGACTTTTTTTTATATCATCAGTCGATATGACTGTACAACTTTGATGGTGTTGCTTGGCAACAGGAACAACTCCACCTCTAAATCTAACCATAAATGACAAACATCAACAACCATCATCAGAATTATTTTGACATTGACGCTGCACTTACGCGAGTCCCCAGGTGCACTTCAGGGAATTTAGAGCAGATAATGGTTGTATGACAAATCTTAGTTCCTGTGTCAGTTTTTTTATGTCTGGCAACAAAGCTTTTTAAATTCCTTGAATTCAAATCGGGGATCATGACAACATCCCAAAACCTGTCAACACATGTGAGATACCAAGAATGCAAATAAAGTTAAATAGAAAGGCCCTGATGTTGAATTCTAACAATGTTGGCAGCCAGAGGTGGAGAGGTGGTTTAAAAACAGAAAAAGCCACGTGTACTCGTATCTGTCTGCTGCTGCGACACCGTGATATGTGCATCTTTACAAAGGCGGCACAAGACTCCAAGCTCAAGCACGTATAAAGCAGAGGGAGACATTTCAGAGTCCGAAATAAAAACTAATCTCAAATTCGATACTAGCTGACAGCAAATAAATTCCTCCAGCTTACCTCAGCATGAATAAACAGGCACATGAGTAGTAGGCTGTGGGGGAGGTATCCACCGTTCGTGAGGCCTCAAATAAATTCGATTCAGCTTAGGATTTTATGCATCAAATAAAAAATATAATCTTGCTTTTTAAAGCATCTTCCCACTCTGTCCTGACCGATAAGGTGCACCTTTAAGGTCTGTCATTCGGGGGTAGCAAACCTTAAAGCCTGAGCTGATGGAGGGCGTGGGTAGTCTCAGGAAAAGTATGATGATGTTTCATCCAAACAGGGTATTTGCTTGACTTGATTTGCAAAAAGTTTAATGAAGAAAAAACTATCAAGATGTACATTACACAAGAGAAGAAAATCTAAACCGTTCCTATATCTAAAGAATGTGATGTTTTACTTTTTTATTATTCAAGGGAGAGAGATATGTGAAAGAAGGTCGCGCTGGAAACTCAGACAAAAGAAACTAATAAAAGCCCCCATCGCCGTGACTACTGGCTGGGGAGTAGTTTACTATACCCATCCTTTACATTCACGATATGCTAAGCAATTAAAGTAATTAAATTATAACGTATGTGGTTTTAGAGAAAAGGCAAGCATGTGCAATAAAACTGTAATAAAACCTTTTGAATTGAGAGTATCCAACATTGTGGTCGGCAAAGGAAGGCTGATCCAAATTATGGCATTATTAAACATACAGATATAATTATGTGTACAGCTGTAAAACTATATATTTTATGTCTATATAAAATCTATGGATTCTGGGTCATTTGCTATCCAACTGTAGTGCAATCAGAG